ATTTTACCTTTATGCCTACTCTCCTATCTCTCTCTTTCCCAGGTATTGACCATTACAGGCTATAGGACAGCCTTGTTCTCTACTTTTCGTTTTTTTTTCGTTTCTTCTGGGTTTTTTTCTCTACTGTTTTCTCCCTTTTGTTTCATTTCCATCCATTTTGTCCTCTCTGTCCTTCTAACCCTACACCCTTGCCAGATTGCAATCTTAGTTTCATTCATATGCAGGGCAGGCTCAGCCTACTTCTTTGTCTTTGTGACATGGAGCTTTTTATATCAAGACTGTCATTTCTCCTTCATTTCCTGCATGAGCCTTTTTGGAGAACTCTCTCTTCTCTTGAATCCCTTGTTCCTATTGGACATGCCCATACATGACTCCTTCAATGGTTTCTGGCTTGTCAATGCAGAATCTGTAGAGATGCATTGTTTTCTTTCATGGTCGTAGCATTTTACTCAGTCCCATACAATCCTGGACATCCAGAAGTACTATCTTCTTTTTAACTTTTCATTGTGGTTCACTCTATTCCTCACAACCCTAGATGTCTCTCTTTCCTCACTTTTCCCAGACTTGCACCTGTTTGGAGCCTTCCAGAGCTCAGATGTCAATCTGTGAGCTCCTTCCAATAGTGTGTGTGTGGGTTTCCTTAACCATGATGAGAGTGGCACTGATGGCAATATTTGTTGGCTTTGTGCTTGATAACAACCAATTCTACGGCCACACCTTTTCTCCATCCTCCATTCTTCACAGTGACTGTGATAATGAGTTTTTATTTTTCTCTTTTCTTTGTCAGGTCTAAGAACAACTTTATTCAACATACAACTTATATATATATATATATTACGTAGTTGATGGAACCCACCAAGTGGCCAGTATTGCCTCACATGGAATATTTACCCAAAACCTGAATCAAACTAGGGAGTACAGAAAGTGTTAAACTCACCTGCCCCTGCTTAGTGCCTGCCTTTGAGATGGGGTTCTTCACAAGACTGCTCAGTGGTATTTGTATATCTTATAACATCTACATTGTTTTACATTTGTCAAAAAAAAAAAACAGTGCCAGGTTTCTAGGTAATCCATTGCACTTTTTCTCAGTGTATGATTTAATTTTAGATTGTTGTCCTAATGACAATAGCCCATGCACCTCTCTAGTGTTCTTCCCCATATCTTCTAATAGAGTATGGGAGAGCTATTGCTTCTCCAGTCCTAAGCCACTGTAGAAGTTGATATGGAAAGTTTCCTGTTTTCTCCCTTTTGTTTCATTTTCATTCCTTCTGTCTCCTCTGTCCTAATACCACACTCTTGCCAGATTGAAATCTTAATGTCATTCTGCATGCCTTTACTCTTTTGCCATTCAAACCCATGTCTTCCTGTTCCCTGTACCACCTTTCCTTGAAGATCTTTTCCTGCTCCTTTTTGCATGAGTTTGTTGTCAGTTGGATGTATCTCATATCCTATACCATAGTACTTATGTTCTCCTTTATTGTGATAACTCCTTTCTCCCCAAGACCTCTGGCTTGTAAGGTTTTTTTTTTGCTTTCCTGCCAATTTCTCCACCTTCCATTTTTTATTTATGTTCTCATTCTGATCTGGTTCATCTGCTGCATCCTGTCTGGGCTGTCAGGTTCCTTCCATGGTTTCTGTTCCTAACTCTTTTATGCTCTGTAATTCATTTTCTTCCCATGGCTTTTCCATAATACACTTACTGGTTGGATTCAACAACTTATCTGTTTGGCTTATTCTTCGTTGTCCTTCGATTCCTGTCATCTTTTCCAGGTCTCACACCAGATCCACTGCTTCACCATTTCCCTGGCTACTCATTTCCAAAAAGTAGTATAGCTACCAGGCATGCAGGCCCAAGCAAGCATGTGCAGTGTTTCATATAGATCAGTGGGAAAGTGTGTTTAACTGTAAGTGGCAAGAAGGGTTTTATGTATGGATGGGCCAGATTCTTTTACAGTAGGTATCTGTGACTTATTGGCAATAATTTTAAAAATAAACAAACAGCATACAGCCCACTTGTTTAAGAATAATATGTTAAAACAAGTCAAGCTTATATACAAATGTTTGTTATACAGTTAATTAACCACAGCTGTATCCAGTGCTTTAAATAATCGTCTCATTTTGTCAAAGTCCACACAGGTGGTTCAGTTACTTAAGAACACCCTTTGACAAAATTCTAGTAACATGACACAATAATACAACAAGTGCCAATTCCCAACACTTGAACTACACAACACAGTTACATAAACTGTGATAAACTATCACTTTTAAAACTAACTATACTCAAAACTCGCACTATATTTAAACCATCTAAATCATAACACTCGCATTGAAGTTAAATTAAAACAGTCGTGTATATCTAACAGATAACAAATATTGTGAGTGATTGAACCAAGAAAATAACAGTATATATGAAGCTCACTGTGCAGTGTGTATAAAGTTTTTGAAACTTGCAATGATGGGTGTAAAGGCACTCGATTCATGCATAGTGTGAAGCACACACACAAAGAAAAGATTCTCATAATTGTGTGAAAACAAATGCCATAACTAATTATGTGCACAATAAACTGCAACTGCAAGTGATCCTACTAGTAAAACAAGTGCCCAATATACATCAGCTACCCAGTCCTAAATGTAGAAGCCAATGTGTAGAGCTTCCAAGTTTTCAACATTGGTGACATAAGGGCAAGAATTGACACATTTCTGCATGAGTTTTTTTATCAAATCTCAGTCAAAGTAAGGATAAAAAAATTTAAATTTTAAGTTACTCAGTTTTTGTAGTTTGATTTTCTTGTTTCAATAATGTTTGTAGCATTAAAATTTTCTATATTACTATTACTAGCTAAGTTATGTATATATCAATCACTACTTGTTTTTATAAAACTTGAAAATTTTTGATTATACTTGTAGATTTAGGGACCAAATTCCTGCTTCACAGTCATCATTTGTAGTTTTTAAATTTACTTGTCCATGCTGTCAGCAAGGCTATATCAGTTCTACTAAACTAATGTGAGTGAAAGAACATCCTAACCTAAGATTCCCAAGTAAATCAAATGTACATGAAAATGCCTTAGGAGAATGTTGTTGTCAGTTTTAATTGGCTTACGATTGTAGCAAGGGCCAATGATGAAAGGGCTTTCAAATAAAAGAGAGTTTGAAATTAATGTTAGAATGGCAAGTAAACTGCTTTTATTGCTGCCCCCCCCCTCCCCAGTGGCACAACGATATGTCTGTGGATTTACAATGCTAGAAACCGGTTTTTGATACCTGCAACGGTAGCTTTGTGTTTAACAACAAACAAAACTGCTTTTATTATTATAAAAATGTAGTTGTTTGTTGAGGACAGTTAAATGCATGATTAATGATAATTTCTAAACTTGATACTGACACAAATCATGTGAAAGAAAAACACATTTTCTTCAAATCTATAGATTTTTAGTTTTTGCAAAGCAAAACACAGAAGAAAACTGAAAGGATTTAGCACCACTTGGCTCCTTAGCCAAGAGTTTTTTGGTCAATTAAAAACCTACATCTAGTAAATATTACCAATATATATTTTTTCTGGTAAAGATCATGTGTAACTGTTCTTTAGTACAGGTCCCAAACATTCTTTATTTCAGGTGATGTGGATATTTGTGACTTAACTTACATTATTTCTTTATTTTACATACTTGTAGTTGATTGTACCATATTGCATATTTATAGTCCTAATATACTGACACAATAATAGGTAAGAAAGCTAAATTTAAAGATGTCTTATTGCAGGAAAAAGATTAAAATAACCATTTGAAATATATTTCTATTGCATGTTACTGAAAGTGTGATCATCTGCATGACTTTAAAGAAGTCATATTGTTTTTTGTTTTGGTTTGAATTTTGTGAGTTGGATTGCACTGTAAGAAATGCTTGTAGAATGGAGTGAAGAAGAATTAAAAAGGCAAAATTGCTTTTTACAATTTTATTTAAAATGCATATCTATATTTCAGTATATTTAACTTCATATTTCTATATTTCTGACAGTAAGAAATGGCCATAGGTATTTATGAATTAAAGGTATTTTTAGGACGTGTGACAGTCTAGAAACTGTTAAGAATTTTAAGTTATGTTAAATTCAGGAAATACATTTTGTCAGCAACTGCATTTAAAATGTATTGGTGTAGAATCAGTGTAAGCTGAATTTAGACTAATACTTATTCATTCTTTTATTTTAATTCTTTTTTTTTCTTTTTGTAATTTGAAAAAGTAATCAAATGTTTATGCTTTTAATTTAACAAGAGTTTTATTTCACCCATTGCTATTGTTTTAATTTAATAAGAACAACTTTTTAGTTCAGACATTTACAATGTACCAATCAGTTATGTTTTCACAAATACAGTGTAGAGGTTATTGATCTTCGTTGAAATACTAATCTATGCAGTTTCTAAAAAGTTTATATTTTTGGTTAAAAAGGTAAAATGATTAAATCTTGCTCACTGTTTAATTTGATAAAGGCCACGATGAATTAAAAATCTGTCCTTTTGGTTTTAGGAAGATTGGGTACTTTTTTACATGAAAATTAAATACCTTAATGGGATTTTCATGATTTTGGTAATTAACTGTAAAATGTTTTGGTTCAAATTAGTAAGAATTTCTGACTAGCAACCAGATTATATCATTACAAGGTAAAAATTAATACATCACAGAAGTGTGCTTAGCTTGTTCTTGTATTTATTGTAGGTATTAGCTATTGTTGTTTGATTGGAAATAAAAGATGTGTGAATTGTTTTCTTTGGTGCTATGTAAACAGTATACTAAATAGATATTCTGTGAATATCTGGTACATGAGGAATTTTTGAAGTTTATTGTAATATCTTTCAAGGTTTGTAGGTCTGTAAATAGAAAAACTATGCTATTGCCTGCTTAGAAAAGGCCCAATTTTCTTATGTTTACATTAAGAATTCTAGCTAAAGTCTTCAGAATCAGTATGCTACAAGAGATTAATATTTTTACTTATATTTTTCTAGGCCCTCAGTAAAAGCAAAAGCTGAGAAATCAATATCTCTAAGTAAAGAAATGACCAGAAGAGAATTAATTCTCTGGCATGGGCAGTTGTGGGCAAAGAACCTGTTTCTTTCTGAAGTGAAAATTCTCTCATGGTCTTTGTTAATACAACCATCTCAATTGTAAGTGTGTTTCTGTGTAATATTGTTACTTTTAATATTAAAGTGATTTTCTCATGATGCACCTACGTTTTTATAAACTTATGCACATAGTTTTATTCTGTTTTCACAAAGTAGCACAACACTATAGTTCTTATGCAGATTTTTCTTTCCTGAGAGAAGACATAACTCTATGCTAGAAGAAGTAACACTCTTGACACTTTAAGATCAAGTTTCAACTAATTCTTGCTTTTTCTATTCAATACATATAAACTTTCATGTTTGTCATACATTTTAAGTGAATATCAAGCATGAAAGAATAGGTTTTTACAAATAACACTAATGATCTTGCTGCCATTCCTATCAGTACTTCCTTCTTCTTATGTTGCTTAGAAGTTATTGTTAGCAAACTTATTTGTTGTTATTTTATCTAAACTCCTTCATTTCCTGCATGAGCCTTTTTGGAGGACTCTCTCTCTTCTCTTGAATCCTTTGTTCCTCTTGGACATGCCCATACATGACTCTTTTCAATGGCTTCTGGCTTGTCAAGGCAGGATCTGTAGAGATGCATTGTTTTCCTTTCACCTCTCATGGTTATAGCATTTTATTCAATCCCATACAACCCTGGTTATCCAGAAGCACTATTTTCTTTACAACTTTTCATTGTGGTTCACTCTATTCCTCACAACCCTAGATGCCCCTCTTTCCTCACCCAGACTTGCACCTGTTAGGAGCCCTCCAGAGCTCAGATGTCAATCTGTGGGCTCCTTCCACTAGTGTGTGTGGGGGTTTCCTTATCCATGGTGTGAGTGGCACTGATGGCAATATGTGTTGGCCTTTGCTTGATGACAACCAATTCTATAGCCACATTTTTTATCCATTCTTCACAGTGACTCTGATAATGAGTTTTTTTATTTTCTTTGTCAGGTCTAACAACCACCTTATTCAACATACACCTTATATATGTATGTATATATATATATATATATATTATGGATATGATGGAACCCACCAAGTGGCCAGTGTTGCCTCACATGGAATATTTACCCAAAACCTGCATCAAGCTAGGTAGTACAGAAAGTGTTAAACTCACCTGCCCCTGCTCTGTGCCTGCCTTTGAAATGGGGTTCTTCACAAGACTGCTTCAGTGGTGTCTGTATATCTCATATCATCTACATTGTTTTACATTTGTCCAAAAAGAAAACAGTGCCAGGTTTCTAGGTAATCCATTGCACTTTTTCTCAGTGTGGGATTTAATTTCAGATTGTTGTCCTCCCCATTTCTTCTAGTGGAGTATGGGAGAGCTGTTACTTCTCCAGTCCTAAGCCACTGTAGAAGTTGATATGGGAAGTTCCTATTCAAGAGATGCAATTCTACTGGTACAAGACTTAGTGGACATACTCTTCATTTGGGAAACAGGGCTTGGGTGTTACCTAGTAGTGTAGTACAGGACACCCCATTACATTAGGAACCAAGCCATTGCTGTTGGTTAGATCCAGACAGATGGGTCTTTTGTTCATTTCAGGACACAGGTCTAGGATACTACTCCATTCCATTTGATTTTTGTGGAGAGGATCTTATGTAAGTATTTCTCCAATATGGAATGGCCTGGTTTGTGGCCATAGCCACACTGCACACTCATGCTTAGTTGTCTGCCTGTGAGATAATGGATGGTTGTCCAATCTACCATTCTGCCTACCTTAGTGACACATTAACTCTCAGTAAAGGAGTCTTATGCCATTATCCTTTGCTCTACCACTTCTATTGGATGAAGAGTATTCTCTGCTTGAGGTGGATGTGGTCTCCCATTGAGTGCTACCTTTCCAGGCTCTCCCCCCTCCCTGCCTCATGGATGTCACACTCCATGGCCTTTCCCTTTCTGACATTGTTTTCAGGAAGGAGCTCATCTTTATGATTTGTTAGTACTGGCCCCTCCATCATCTTCAGTGTGGAATTCTAGCTCTTCATAGAACAGAGAGGTGAGTAGCATTTCTGAAGTTAAAATTTTCCTTATCTGTAAATTTATTTGAGGTAATTACTCACCTTTTTGCACCACCCTCCATCCTTCCTCCTCACTTCCAATACATTTAATTTGCCTCATCAAGAATGAGCCTATGTTCACATGCCAGTATTCAAGGGGATTAAAGAAGTGGGCTATACTCTAATGATGATTACATCATAGGTTGATACAAAAATGTTGATGCAAGTAGGAGTGGGAGTTTTGTTCATGGCTTGTGGCATGTGCAGGAATTTACATAGCAGTGCACAAGGTAATAGCTCCTTGTGGTGCAGTGAAATGGTTATCTGCCTGAAATTGGACATACCTTCCAAAATCTATTTATTGTAGGACCAAAAATAGGCATTGTAAGCATAATAATAAGACTTTTTAATATGCTGGTTTTCTGTGGCATAATTTACTCAACATATGTTCCTGTCTAAAGTTTCACATTAACATTATCCAGTCTAAAATTTCTCAGCTGTAAAGTACAAAATGTAAAAAGGTAAATAAGTCAGTTACAATGTAATTTGTTTTTCAAAACTTGATGAAACCAAAATAATGTTTTTTTTCAGCTGGTTTTAAATGCAGCTGGTTGTAAATATTGGCAGAGGTAAGTATAGCTGGTGTTAAGTGCTGCTGGTTAATTGTAAAATGTGGAGACTTTAAGAAACAAATAAATGTGATTGGCTTTAACCCATTGGCTAAACTTTCTAATTCCTCCATGAAATCTGTCAGTGGCTTACATTTATTAATGGTTCAAAGCTTTCTTGACATAGCTTCATGATAATTGAAAAAGTTTTTATCATATTAATACTGTCCCGTCTGTTTTGCTTTTTTCATGTTTCAGTGCACAAACTTGTAGGGTTAGTTCAGAAAATTGTATGTTCAATAACATACCTAAAAATGAAGAAAACAACTTAGATATATACATACTTAAAAGAATTGTGAGTTAGAATATTGGGATTGAACTTGGCTTGCTGTGACAATACACCATTACTAAAGTGATTAGGCTAACTTGTGTATTTGAAGTTCTTTCATTACATAAATGCATGTGTAATGATGAACAGTAGAATGTCAGCAAAAAAAAAATGTTTGACACGTGTGCATACAGTACCAAACATTTAATTCTTGGACATTTTGGAATATACATATTCCATCTTGAACAAGCTATATTGAACAGGGTCAAATATTAACGTACAAAAATTTATAAAGTTCATACATTGTTTAAAGAGTAATTAAAATACAGAATAAAAGGGTGAAATAAATTCAAAGACAAACAAATAGATCGATTCCTGTCGAATGAATCTGTTGCTAGTGTTATTAAATGCTGATATGGGAATGATACTTTACAGCTATTTCAATCGCTCAAAAAAATTGACCTCAAACTCCGGAAATTATCATTGGACATTCATTTCTTAACAACTATGTGTACTTCTTGATGGATTCTCCTGAAAATGGTAGAATTATTTACACCAAAACATGTAGAGTTTTAAGTTTCTTTTCACTTATATATTTTTAATTTTTTAATCTTTACAAATAAATGATTGTGCAAGTAAAAACGTTGATTTTCGTTTTATTATTTTATTTAACATTTTTGCACAAGATCTGTCTGTTTTACGTATTGAACAGAATGGTTGTTGTAATTAATGGTAATTAATAAGTAGACTATAAGTACGTAGACACCTATCTTTGTAAAATTAAACCAATAGAAGAAACGAAGTTATTAAATTATATATATACACATATGTCCTGATTAACTTACTTACCTCAGAGTGTTTTTTTTTATTTTGGTGTGACTTATTTAGTATAGCAGATTGAAATGATGAATAAATAATATGAAATAACACGTTGATTTGTCAATAGATGGCGATAGCTAGTAACTGCGATTGTAAGGGCACAGAACAACACTATAACGTGATAATATGCTATCCATCTTCACGCACATAGCATTCGTCAGATAAATACTGTATCCTATATAAAAACCGTTTTTATTTAAATTGGCTCAAACTTTGCATGTTATTTATACATTCATCAAATGTTTGTTCGTTTTTTAAGTAAAGATGGCATATTTTTTTAAATGATAAATGATTGAAAGAAAGTTCCAAACGACTAGTCTATGAAAAAGGCTTAACTTAGGCGTGCAATATATCTTATTTTTCAAAATTATTTTTATTCCTTTCGGTTACAGAGCTACAATTGTGTATGCATACTCGAAACAGTCCATTCACTGGGAGTATTATCACAATGGTCAGGGATGTCACCTAGTTGTATAGCTTCGAATTGAAGACATATAATAAAATAAACTCGAAGATGCGTGCTTTTGGATAAAAGCTATTTTGTATTGCTAGTTAAAATAAAACTTTTTATCACAGTTGTCATGTAACAAAATTGTGTGTGTTTGTAATTTTCATTATTTTGTTTAAAAAAGGGGATCTGGAATTTTATAATCAGACCGTTCAATAGAACAGTGTAATATAGTTATTAAATTAATAGTTTATGCATTTTGCCTTCCGAGTATACTATTCCGTACTCCAAAGGTTTTTAGACGTATTTGTACGCTAGAATTTTAACCAAAAATTCTGAATATTTTGTAAAATGACTGAGTCGCCAGTAAAAATATTTCGCGAAGCATTGTAAAAAAAAATTAATTAAAATGAATCATTGAAACTTACAATATTGTGCTAACAGTTGGAAGTGTATTTAATATAACCGTATAACTACACGAGTTAAAAAAAATTATATTTTTCTATGACCGTCGATAAACATATTTCCCTAACCGTGATATATCTCTTCGAATCAGTGATTAGTTTTCAGTGGGGGCTAGGCAATCAACTGGCAATATGCAGGTCGTGGGTTCGAATCCCGTTACTGAACGTACTCGCCCTTTCAGCAATGGAGGCATTCTAATATGATTTTTAATTCTTCTATTCATTGATAAAGAGTAGCCCAAGAGTTGGCGGTGGGTAGTGTTAACTTGCTGCTTTCCCTCTAGTCTATCATTTCAATATTAGGGACGACTAGCGTA